CGCCGAAGAAAGTGGGCGTGAATTATGCGTAGTGAAGCGGACGATTCAATAGAGCCATTCTCCCTTCCAATCAACGATTGATGCATTTTCCTCATCTTTTGTTGTCAGCTATCGTGGGTTCTCATTTGGTCTGCTGATAAGATTGTATCTCACCTGAAAGTATGGTATTCCTACCATGGAACTATTTAATGGCTCCATATTCCTACACGTAAAAAGGTGACAGACTTTTTATTTCAAATCCAGTGTTCAGGTTTCAAGTATAATACAAGGTACTATCCCAACTTAGAAATCGGTCAGATACCGTTCGTCCTGAATAACCTTTCCTCCATAACATTTACATGGAAAAGTGGTGTAGCCGAAGTCTACACCCTCAGTAAGAAAGGGTGTCTTGCGATTCCATTTTGGTTCTTTTTATTCATCCATTTTAATTGACTGTGATATTTCAACAAACCCCGATTACTTCAAAATTCAAAGAAGTCTGCATTTCGAAACACGAACACATAATTCTCGTGTATCACTTTCTGTCATAGCCAATTACTGTTGGATTTTCTTGCCCCCAAAAGTTGCTAGGGGCGTTTTTTTTAACTCGCAAATTCTTCAACCTTGCAATTGCGCTTTGACCCAATCAACCACGCCGCGTTGATAGCTTGGAAACCTGAGCCTGTGTCCCAAGTCCTGTCTCTTTCTCAGGGTTGTGGAGCAAATTTAGGATGCAAATCTGTTTTTTAATTCGGAACTAGATTTTCTTGTCTTTCAACAGGTCTTCTGTTTTCGTACCGTCCATTTGGGATTTCGCCAGTACCTGTTTCTTCACCCTTCGCACGTGGAGATCGGGGCTTACTAGTAAAGAAACTCGTCCACGGCTGGCATTCCTCACACCCTGTATGATTAGCAAGTACAACAAAGGTCTTGTCCAGCTCTGTGAATGATTTGCTGGGGGAGCCCACGGATTTGCACCCGCTGAATAGAGCTTTAGGCATTTCGTAATTCTAAACTTGTTTGCCAATCGCAGAACATGAAAGATCAATCCGTGCAAACTCCAAGCTCGTCGTGTACACTAGTTATGTTGCCTTCTCCAAGAGTCCAAACGCCGATAACAGACGTAGTATGTATGGGTATAAGATCATTGAAATAATACAAACTTGCATGTAATGGTGTAACACATCGGAGGTTGTAAAGTGTGGAAATAATCTGATGATTGTAGGAGGATTAATATACATTTTATTTGACGTCAAACAGTTACAATATCCCCACTGAGTTCGTAATTTTCCCAATATCCACGAAGCAACGAGCTGTTATAGGTTTCTACACTTCACAGCTGGATGTCATAACTTGCTACCACTCTATGCTTATTTTCAACGAACCAGATTCCCACAGATGTTCTCTTGTCCTACCTCTTCGAAGTTTTCATCTCAGTAGCTCCCTCTTGTACCAGGTTAGCGCTCCCTGGGCACGGGGCCAAGCCAGCCACATTCCTCCCGATCAGTCGTCCTGGGGGGACTCTCGCGCCGGAAAACTGAATGTACATGTACAGCACACCAACCCCGGACGCTGAGAGACTTTTTTTCACCAGAAAACACGTTCAAAGTCAGGAGAAAAGGAGAGAAACGGACAGGGTCACCAGATGGCTGAACCGTATGGCTCACTGACCGCAATTTGTTGATGGATGACAGTTTAATGGTTGATTTCGGGGCGGTTGTAAACTCTAGTCAAGACATGGAATTCACGAAGGCGTGTATGTTTACTTAATATTTTTCACAAAAATAAAATTTTGTATTTGCACGCTGCCAAGTATAATTCCCGAGCCTGAACAGCACCTAATCCATTTCATCCTCAAACATACATGAGCTTCCGTTAGTTTGGTGTAAACATGAAAAAAACATTCCTTTCTTTTCTGCCTGCCCTTTTTTTTCTCGATAAGTTATCTTGTTTTTAATCTGTGCAGCAATTGTAACTTAAAATTCACCTTATCCTTTTTGAAGCATTCTTCTTTTAATCTTCTTAAAAAAGCCACACAAACATAAAAGGCTCCCTGATATTATTGATTTATTTAGGGAATGGAAAGAGTTTATCAAGACAAGCACGAACTGCATTGACACTCATGATGTAGTGTGGGAAGGTAAAATCGTTCAAATTATTACGATAACGTGGATCACTGCAGCCACGATACCCGTCACAAATCGAAGACAATTATTTTGGCTTCTCAGATTCGCTCGTGATTGTCCCCATTTTCCACTGCAGGGGTGTTGAGTTAGTAAACTTTTTCAACACCCACTGAGTTGAATTGTAATGGATGGTGGTCAGGGTTGAAGGACTACACCGCTTCCATGTACAGAGCTAAGTGAAGGGATGGTCTCAACAAGCTTTTATCTCTGATTACGCTGGCCTGGCTGGGGATGAAATCCTACTCGCGATGACGCCATTGTTATGTCATATTCAACGACTGGTGTCCATTTTGCAATATACAGCATCAATAAAAAGATCGCTTCACCATCGACATCCAGCGTCAGTAATTTGGCCACTAGCCATTTAGTGTTTCTAGCTATAGGTTCTAAAGCTTTTCACCTAGTTTACCGTAACTTGATTGGTAACATCACAAACCTATTTAATGTACAGACACCTATATCAAAAGCACAAAACATGACGGAAGTGCTGTGAGGGTCTCTGCATGTATATACGCCAATATTTGCGAGTGATATGAACAGTTCAGAAGTCTTTTCGGTGTGGGTTTTTTCTCTCCTTTTTTCTTCTTTGCCGTTATTTTTATATCGAGTTGTGTTTGTCGAGCCGTGACTAAAAACCTCGGAAGCAGCCTACACCAGGAATACTTGTGAGCACGTTTCGGGACCATAATAGAGAAGTTTCAGTATGTCTCCTCTGACAGTAGTCTTTTTCCAGTATCCTTTTACATTGAGCAAACATTCGGTGAAAAAAAAACTTCTTTTATTATGCCCATGGGGACACAATTGACTCCCGTGGAAAGCGCGAGATTGTGATGAAAAGGGTTGGTTCACGTCCGTAACCCTTTAAGCGCCGATGCATGTGAAGCCTGCCACTTACAAAAGGCTGTCCATACTAATATGTTCCCCACCAAAAGCACATTCTGTTTGCTTCATGACTTCCCTAATTCATCAGTGGAGGGGGGCTTGTTTGCCTCTTTTGCCTGTGGGTGGATAGTAGGAGGGGAAAGTAGATACATGTACACTGCATGCAAAAAAGCCTTAGTGATACTTAAGTGTGCAGTTTTTACGAATACGTGGACATCGTGCCTGTCGAAGTACACGGGATCGACTGAGCCTTTTCATCAGTAACAACAAATTGCATTATATTCACTGTAGTCAGGATTATGCATGGTTACTGTCCAGCTGCAAGATAAAACAGGGGCAAGGGAACAATGGTCATGGTCAATGGTTTCCAGCACTTTGTTCGTTTTTTAATGTTAACTTCTAAACTTGCAGCGTTCGATCTTTCCTTGGCTATCTCAGTCTAAGTTATTGCGAAACACTGTTAGGGCAGCTTTGGACAAACCGAAAGTGAATAGCTCACAGAATGCTCTAACCACAAACCGGTGAATTAGGCTGAGCAATCTCGGTAAAATTGCTCGGCGTGGGTTGCCAGCATTCCCCCGTTTGCATTCTGGCTTTTGTGTGTCTACTTTGTGCGTCGACTGACTAAACATTTCAAGGACTGCTTCCATTATCGAGCTGCACAACGCTGTCGAACCCCCGCACTGTGCATGCGCCAGTGGTTAATATGCAAAGTGCCAACGCCCATTTTTGCAGGACGGAATGCTTTTGCATTTGTCCCTTGTGGAAAAGAAGGTGACGCTGTATTGCGCCATCTGTTGGCGACCAGTCGCGACCATGGCACCCAATGGTTTTTCAAGAAAGACAAACTTATGCTCTTTCAATGGGAGGTTTTTTTTACTATTCCTGGTAACTCTTTCCATTGTTACTTTCATTAGCCTTTTCAACCTAGCGATGAACATGGGATGAATCTGAGAAGTTCGATCGCCAATCCACGAGCCGGTGTTTTGGTCATTATTCATTAATTCGTTAACTACTAACACCCTAAAATTAAATCCTTTGTGCGAGCCAAACACTAACCTGCAACAATTCACGATAAAGGAAAAAAAAACAAACAGGCATTGTCTGAAACAACAAAGACCGTGTTGTGTGCAGTTTCCAAGTAAAGATATGATCCAGTCCTTCTCAAATGTATGTACTCGCAACACTTACACCGCAGAACCCAACATGCAAAGCCCCGTGAAAGATCCTTTGCATGGCACCCTGTTAAGTACTACACCGGTAATAAACATTCTGGAGCACTGCTTACTGGGATAGGTCATGCACTTGACGAAAAGTTGCCCTGAAGTACTTCTTTGAGGTCAACAGCTCCAGTGATAAAACTGTGTCAGGTGTGCTAATTTTCAAGTCAGTATTTGCTACATGCCAATCCCAGAGTGCAGTAGAAAGTCGGCAACCACATCGGAGGAGGCAGTAGAACTGAATACCACAGGGCCACTTGATAATGGAAATCTCAGAATTCTAACCACCGTGGAAGGTTGGCCATTGTTTGGCTGCTGGGAAATGCTGCAGCATTTTATAGCCATCACTGTGGCTGGCCCAAGTGACATATTTAAAAAAATCTGCCAACAACAGTTGGGTATCACTTCCCTGCAGTATCCCACGAGGATGCTCGTTTTTAAATGATCGGAAGCCCAGCGACTGATGAACTGTCGGAAAAGTTGGTATCTGGTCTTTTCCTTGACAGTGCACTCAAAGCATAAATTCTCTCCTCCTCGTTTGTTCCAGTAAACTTTAATCTCTCTGCACAAAAGGGAATCTATGCGCTACTATTGCCTTTGTGTCTGTGTGCATTTAAGTTTCATTGATCCAGTCAAACTTTTTTTAAGGAAGAGTGGAAATTGAGAATTGAACAGAGATTGGGAATGAAAGGCAGCCATCAACTCAAAAAATCTCAGCAAAAAGAGCTCTGGATTGTAATGAATAAGTATCTTTTGTTACTGCTTTATTCCTGCATACCGACTGGTTCCAACAGATGACTGCTAATGTTAAGGTGAAAACAAACGACAATCCAGATAAATTTTATTCCATAAAGTGAGATTCTCAAGCATGTCTTTAAATTAATTAAATAATTAAAGTAAATTATCAAATGGCAACACAGTCCACAGTGATTTAGCTTCCTTGGTCTAGATTTCCCAAAGAAATAGTGAACGAGGTCGTAAGACACATCAAAGTAAATACATTTTGACCAGTCTTTGTTCTGCAACCTGCAAAGATGTGACAAACGTTCAGAAATTAGAACTCAATTTTACGAAAATGTAGCTGCAACAAAACTACATGTTTCGTTGCCAATCAAAGTAAAGTAAGCAAGCTTTGGACAGAGAGCCCAAGAAAATAAATTCGACTTTCATCAGGTTTATCAAAATCTTGAAGTATTTTTCTGATGGTTAAATATGTATGTACTTGGTACAACCGAAATTCATAAATGCAAATTAATTTTTTGTTTGACATACTTTTTCACAAGTGAAAAGGCAAGGTTGACACAAAAATCCTAACATTCTCACTCACAGTAAGAACATTCATATACTGTTCTCACTTTTTTAAATATAGTTTTTGAAAATTAATCAGAAAATGATATAGATTGTTAAAATTCACCACTAATACCTTTATTGCTACATGCAGAGAACAACTAATGAAATAACTTTAAAGACTTTTTTCAGAACGACCAAATCACCCTCTTTTTTCTTTAGTAGTACTACATCAAAGTGAAGAGAAAAGAATAGAATAGGAAAGAATAACAGGTTAGTGCAACATGGTCAAGATCGTTTGCAGGATAAACCTGAAATGGCATACTTATAAATGATGAGTCTGCTTAAACAGTTTTCACTGCATGTCAGTAACTGTCAACAATGGATATTGCTAGGCTCCACCAAATAAAAACCTCAGTAACTTAAATAACTCTGGATGGCCAAGTTTCACAACAATTAATCAGCAAAATGTCCTTCTTGTTTCCTTCTTTTTTTGGCAGGTATGAAAGCCTACAGTGTTATCTGAATTGTCGTTTGGTCGTTTTTAAGTCTTTGACATACTGCTGTTCCACCAACCAGCCACTTCATTTGTAGATTTTATAACTTGCTACCTTTTTGCCATCGAATTCCCCCTCACAGCAGAAGTATTCCTCAACCATTTTCTTTGTTTCAGGAGCATCTGGATCAAGCTTGGTCCATTTGTAGGACTCGTAGTCAACATCCCAGTCATCGCTTCTCTGTGAACATTTAAAAGATAACTAACTAAATAAAGTGAACAGAGGGATGCACCAGATGGTGAGGACTGTAATGAGCCAAGCACCTGTCCATCCAATTAACATCCACTTGTAAGTTGAAATGGTTACCCCAAGGCTATAATTGAACCCGACCAGAAATAGTCAAGCCCTCAGTGCAATGTCTGCTCATCTGGAAGTTTTTGTGAGGCCAATTCAAAAGAAACCACCACCAAAACACTTTCAAAGTGTAAAAAAGGAATGCAATATTTTAATACCAAGCCCACTTTCTCTTTTCACACTAGGGCCCTTATATGCACCTTGCAAAAACCAACCCGTAACAGCAACGAATCCCGGCTTTCAAGCTAGCCTGATTGCTACTGTGGACCCAATTGTAGTCTGCGCGCAAGCAGACCTATCACTGATACATTTTGGGGGTCATATGACTGCAAAAGGAAGGGTCATTCAGCCAAACAAGGGAAAACCCAAGTGAAAACACTGAGCATGCAAGCAGCGTCACATTGTACACTTCATAGACACAAAAGAAAATTTTACCGCACAAAAGTACACCATTTAAGTGGTTTGCTGTTTACTGAACAGAAACTTTTAGATAAAATTACATTTAATCTCAGTAAAAAGGATGATTGGTGAACAAAACACACACCAACAAAGAAAATAAAAACCAAAATGAACACAACTTCAAATAGCCGTAGCAGGTTGATGTGTTGTACCATATTAAAAAATGGCCAAAGAGGGAAAATGGAGAAAGATAGATTGTACATTTCTAAACATAAACAGTAATTGGGTTGAGCCTAATCACATGACACGAAAATTTAATCCATAATGACAAAATGATGTCCTGTTGTCATATCCTTCCTGGTGTCTGAGATAAAACAATGCACAACTAAGCTTCCCATCTGTCTCCTAAAAACAATTCCCTGACCAGAACAGTTCCACAGACAACTTACCTTAAAGATGAGGTTCTGTCCCCTCCAGAACCACACTCCAGATATGGTGCTGTTATTGTCCTCACCAAAGATTATCACAGAGGCAAATGCATGTTTTCTCATCTTTTCTAGGCGCTGGTACATACCTGTTATTGGCAGGTACAGAAAAAAAGAAATGAAACCTTTTTTTTTGTTGGGGGGGTGTTAAGCATGAACACAGATCCAGGACACTAGCTCAGTCAATGCCACAAGGAACTTAAAAAGAGTTGGACATAGGAACATGTGGTCTTGTTTCCACTTCTCAGGTGTCATGAATTAGCAGCACTCAATGTATAAAGGAAACCCCTGGTGGTGCTAGCTATGTACATGTACTTCTTCCTGATTCCTACGCCACATCCAATATGATCCCGTTTGATTTAGCTAAACCTCAATAGTTCGGGCTACTGATGCATGGGCAACAGACAACCTAGTGTTTTTGGTGTAAAACAGAAGGCAGGCAGGCAAGGGAAAAGAACAGATGATACTCAGAGAGTGTGCACCTGTTTTAGTTTAGCAGTCTTTCTCTGACTCCAAGCAATTGATCTGAACGAAGATATGACAAATCATCCCTGGATGAAAAAGCTTCTTTGTATTGAAAATGCCTGCTGTGCTACTAGAATACCTTCAACAGTGCAAGAGTTACTAACACTGAGTGTGTTCAGGGAGTGCTTTAGCAAATATCGAACTGCATCATAGTATTCAGAGATGTCAACAGGTTCTGACAAGCTAGCTGGAAAAACCTGTAAGCAAGTAAATGTAGGTGTTCAGTCCACGAGGCCTGAAACCTGGCCATTAGGGGAGGATTTCCAACCTACCTCCTTCCATACAATGTAAAGTCTATTTGTGGAACACTGTACAGCCTAAGTGATATTTGTCAAATCTGGATCACGAGACTAGTGCAGTGGATAAGCTTGAAAACTTCTGTTTTGTTTCTAGGACACGGGGTCTGTCAGGGACAATCAACCGTGCAGACACAGAAAATCCTAGATTTAATGTCCCTACATTCTAAAAAATGCCATGACCTATTGGGTGAAAGGTCACAACACCGAATGTCATTTGTAGGGCAGTTCAAGTGGACATTACTGCAACACAACTTGATGCAGTTAAGCCAAGCTAGAGCAAGACACTGGCATCGAAAATTATCGAATTCAATGAACTCCCAAAAGACAGTTGCCAAACCACACAGCAGGACAATTAACTGCTGTATTAACCTTAAACCCCAGAGCTCTTTCTTCTTGGGCACATCCTTAATCCAAAATTTTCCATTTGCCCTGTCAAAATATACATTTATCCTAAATCCTCCAACATCCTGTGTTATTTCTTGGATATGCTTCTTGAAGGGGTGACCACTGCCTAAAATCTTCAAAATCGTCTGACGATTCCTGTCGGTACAAATGGTGTCCTGGAGCAGTCAGGATGGTTTCATGAATAATTGAGACATGAATTCATGCATGGCTGAGCATAAACAAAGTCCATCCCAAGACCTTGACACAACGCGTCCTTCACAATCAACCACACTTTTTGTACCATTCATTCTCAATCCTCCAAAACCGACTGAAGGATTTTTGAAGGATTAAGGGTGGCTAGGGTTAATGACTTACCACCAACAAGATTGCAACTCATGAAGATTAGCTTCAGTTGCTCGGGGAACAAGTATTCAGCATGCCAAATGGAGTAGTTCTCCTTATCAAAATGCTCCCAGAAGTGTGGCAATGCTTTGGTCAGCGTGTCTTCGTTGGAGTAGCTGCGCTTGAAAGCGTCCATGTCCATTGTGCTGCGAGGAGACAGATGAAAACAAGGCAAAGTTTTACAAGGGTGTTTCTCTATGAATTAACACGGGACATTCCTGACCCTTGAGACTCGGCCACAGTAACATATCAAAGCTGCATTTAAGCCATCACCATTTCCCATGACATCAAGTCATCTCTTGGACATTGCAAGGGTGTGAGTGGCCACTTAAAATTAAAGCTGAAAACAGCTGGCAAAAAGCTGAAAGTAAGATGTCCCCATACGTTTATACATAGCAGGTGTACAAAAAAGCTGAAATTCAGGGTCAATATCTAAACAAAAAAAGGTAAAATCAGCTAAAAAGCTGAATTCTCATACCCCTGACATTGGTTCCCGATCTCTACACTGTCTCCAGACATCCTGTAGATGGTGCATTTAGGGACCAGTCCTCCAAGTTTATAGAGTACCAAAGTGAATACATCACATGCACAACTATGTATGCAACAGGCATTAGCCCAAGAACCAGCACATGAACAAACATGCACATGTACTCCATTCATCTGCACTGCACTTCCTAGTTTAAAACGACGTCACACTTTGAGACTCCGTGGTAAGGGGCCGTCCATAAAGTACGTACATATGGGGGAGGGGGGGTTGGTGCCGTTGTGTACACCATGCGTACAGAGGGGGGTTCAAGCCAGTGCATATCGTATGCAAATAAAAAATTTGCCTTTAATGAATCTTCATTATATCAATACACTTTCTCGTACAAATAAATACCAGAATCAGCTTTTGTGCTTTGAAATTCAAACATAGTATTCTCCACCGTCCACTCTACCATTTATCCTCCCAGGCCAAAGCCCATTTATTAGTAAACCACATTACTCATGACACAAAGACCAGCAGCATTTTCTGGAATTGTGGAATGCATCTGCATACGGGATAGAGGGGGAGGTTGGATCCATTGTGTACGCCATGCGTACGGGAGGGAGAAGGGGGTCTGAAAAGTTGACATTTCATGCATACATGCTTTATGGACGGCCCCTAATGAGGAAATCAGTGTACAGAGGCTTTAACAATGCAACGTGATCAGTAACGAATTGAACAGTTTTTCCCTCTTCATAGGTGAACACAAATTCAGTATACATTACTTGTTTATGTGATAATTGACCAATTGGCATGCAGTTGATGTTACCTTTCTTCAGTTTGGAAAAGATAACATCCTAAGCTCCAATACTGATACCAAAGACAATTTCTGACATTTATTTTAGGAGCAGATAAATGTTTCTTTGTCCTACGTTTTTTTTGGGGGGGGGGTCACCATGTGCACGTGTTGATACAAAGACTTATCGCATGCATTACATGTAAACTAACCACCAGTCCCTTTCAGTTTATTTGGACAAGAACTAATACTATTCCTCTAGCCCTGCAATTGTCTGGTGACTATCCCCTGGCTACGATGAGAGGAGCCAAGAAGTGCCATCACAGCAAAGGGCCATACCCAAATCAATGGGCTACAGCTGTGAATGATACACACGTCAACAGTCATTGCTTCAATGGCTAGCTAGTAGCTTCTCTGGGGATGCAATGTCAATCCG